GGCAAAGCTGACCAATCCCCTCATTAGGTTTCCATGTACCTTACTTGCATAGTCCCACCCCCCTCCAAAGGAGCTCTGGGGGCATACTAGGTGAGGCACTTGGCTGCTAACCATAAAGTTGGAAGTTCAAACCCAACTTGCTCCATGGGAGGAAGATGAGGCAATCGACTTCTGTAAGATTTACAGCCTTGGAAACCCAATGGGAATTGCTATGAATCAGAATCAACTCAATGACAGTGAGTTTGGTTTTTTTATGGTACTCCCCTCATGGATGCCAAGTACTTTATTTGCATTATTAGCAAGCTTTCCAATCCCCCTGGTGGGCCACAAGCACCTTATCTCCAGCCAATCATTTGATGGGAGTTGCAAACGACTGTGGCTAGAAGGGCTACTGCTCAAGGAGCAGGGAGGGGACATCTTCTGACCTCCTCTAAATCCACAAAAGGAGGACAGAGTCACCATCAGCAGCCCAAGGCCTGCTCCTATGAGGTCAGACATGCCACCACCCTCCAGCCCTCTTACTAACCTTGACAGAAACCGTTCCTCCCTTGGCACCCACCACCTCTCTGCTGGGTTATAATTCACTGCAGTGGCCACACAGAACTCACAGGTTATTGGGTTTATTAGGAAGAAGCAACAGGCTATAATTCAAATTCAGGAACACGTGCAGTCTCTCTCAGCTGTCCGTCTCTCAGCCAGCAGTCTCTCTCAGTAGTAGGTCTCTCTGTCAGCAACGAGTGTCTCTTGCATGTCTCTCAGCAGCATGTCTCTCTCATGACTCTCTGCAGCGTGCTTCTCTCAGCAGCACGTCTTTCTCAGCTGACCGTCAGACAGACTCCTTCTGCCTCTAGGAGGGCTGCTTTTGAGCCTGGCAGTGGCCACACTAACCAATCCCAACAGCAGAATTCTAAACACCTGAGAGAGAGTGAACTTCCCAGAAGATTGCTTTGTGTTGCCCCAGGTGGATGACTTTAACAAGCAAGCTACTCAGTTACTGATGGCAAAGTGGGAGTTACAAATACTATGGCTAGAAAAGCTGTATCATGTAATTTACCACACCACAGTGATTAAATAAATCACTGCACCACAATCTGTAAACTGAAAATGTTGTGTACTTTATAGTGTGAGTCTTATGGCTAATACTGTAAATGTAAGATGCTTAGTGGTGCTTGCTTAGTTGGTGCTCATAAAACAGTAGCTGCTATCATCATTATATGAACGACTGGGATTCAAACCCAGATCTTGTGCCTTGAGTCATGTCACAAGCAGGTCCAGAGAACTCCCATTCCCCAAGACCAGTTAGTTGATGCTGTTTTCCTAGGTGAAGCATAGCTTACAACACAACAACAGGCCATTTGATCTGTGCTTATTATATATAGGGGATCCAGAGGGTAGCTGTCCAAGACCTTTCTGTGCTTCCAGCCACCTACACCACTGCCAAAGACACGTTGTTCTGGTATCCAGGCTTGGCTGCGTACCCTCCTCTGTGCCCCCACAGCCGTCTGAACTGCCCTGATCACAGCCTTGTCTGCAGTTGTCTGATGACCAGACTGAGATCCACCACACACACACACACACA